GTGTCCTCTTAAGGGGGTGGGGGTGGGGTGGCAGGGACTAGCTCTGATCCAGCCCCGGGGTTGCATGTGTGTGTTGGGGGAGGGAGTGTCCCTGAATTGCTAAAGGAGGTGTCCTCAATCCTGCCTAATGCCTTTGGGCTTTAGGATTTAGAGCTGGGGGCCAGGATGTGAGCGCCCAGATGCCTGGGTTTGCTTCCAGCTCCCAGAGAGACATGGGGTCTGAGTTGGGTGGCAGGAGACTGCTAGGAGCTAGGACAGCTGGGTTCCCTCAGCTCTGGAAGATGGGGGGAGGAGTGTGCACTGGATTCAGGACGTGTGGCCCTTATCTCACTTTTTCCTTCTGCCAGGGTGATGGTGACAGCAGTAGGTGATGCAGCAGTACCATGCGGCTGACAGCGTGTGTGTGTTGGGGAGCCCAGGTGCCTGGGTCCAAGCCCAGCTCTGGGAGGGAGTGAGGCCGTGGGCTCCAGCCCATGGCCTCACTCCCTCCCAGAGCTGGGCTTGGGACTGACAGCCAGGCTGCGCAGGACCTGCCCCACACCAGGGAGCAGGGCAGGGGGCGAGAGCTGGGGGATGGGGGCAGGAGCCAGGACACCTGGGTTCCCAGCCAGGCCTGGGTGTGGCTAATGGCCGCTGTGCCTCGCTGAGCAGGGGACATTTGCCCTCTGCTGGCAGCACCGTAGTACAGCAGCTCCATTCCCACAATCCTTTGCAGCATCTTCTATTGCCCAGGGTGCGGTGGCAGGGGGTGCTGCCCGGGGAGAGGAGCGGTGGCGGACGGGGCAGGCCAGGCCAGGCTTGTGGCTGCCGGCAACACTTCCGTGGGGTTGAGCACACCGGGACTGGGGGACGCTGGCCCCGGCCTGTCTGAATACCAGAGCTGGGCCCTGGCGGAGGTAATGCTAGGGCTGGATTGTGGCTTGGTTTTGCTGGCTAAGAACTAGGGGAGGAGTTGGATTTGACCCCCCAGGGGCTGGCCGGTGCCCCACCGTGGGGCTGGAGTAGGGCTGGTGTCACCTGGGGGCACAGGTCCTGTGTTCTGCTCTCTGTTTCTCTTACAGGCAGTCAATGGAGGAAGGAGCTCCCGCCCCTGGGGAGGACCCCATGCCCCCTGCAGCTGATACTCCGGTTTCTGACACTGTGGCCCAGGGGGTTGCTGACCCCTCTCTGGAGCCCAGAGCCCTCTGCCACTTGTTCCTGG